TGGAGAGCTGCTGCCCACAACCTTCCCAAGGACCCAGCCCAGCCTCCACGCTCCTCCTGGCAGCGGGCTCTGGCGCCCGTAGGACTGGGCGAACTTTCGGAGTGTGCACATCTGCGACTCGCGGCTTCCTGGTGCTTTTCCCATCGCATTCCCTGGACTTGGATGATTCACCCCCTTCTCGCGGCATCATTGAACACCGGAAAGGCGCATCACGTCTTGTGGGGGGGGGCATTTTACTTATTTTTTTATGTATTATGCTGTATGAAATGATTTATTAAATTTCGCTGCATATTCTTTTTATCCCGTACTAATAAATCTCTGCACAATATGTCGTGCATGTGATTGGGTTTCATTTCTGATCATGTCAGATCATGTTTGGCATCATGGTTGTGCCACAAAGCTCAGCTCCCTGAGAGGAGAGTGGAGTCTGATGTTCCTTGAAATGACAGTAGTTTGGGCTCCACCTGTAGGTCCCCGCCTAATCCCTCTCTCACAGTCAAGATTATCCCACCCTCAGGGGCACTAAAAGCCCTTAGGAATTCATCCTCCAAAGGTGCCCCGCCCTTGTGGACCTTCCGAAACCTCACTGGCCCTCTCAGAAATTCTCAGTCCATGCCCACCCCAACCACATCCAAGGAGCCCTCCCTGACCTGGACGACTTCAGAGCATGTCCAGAATCCTACCTCTGCCCCCACCATGCCGTGAATGTGCGAGCTCTCTGCAGCTTCTAGAAGAATGGTGCCAAGGGCTGATAAGAGTGATGAATTTACTCATAGATCAACCGTGTCTCCACATTCCTCAGTTCGAGTAAGAAAGAAACCAGATGTCAGCCAACAGTGGGAAAGTCACCTGGACTAGAGGAATGCCTTAGTAGACACAATGACATGCACACCGAAGTGTGACCCTGGGATGCCCTTCAGGAGTGTTTTCCACCTCAGAGGGCAGAACATGAAGCACCCTACATAGAAACCATGTGAATGTCATGGAAGAGGGAAAGGCTTTCTGCAACGGCCTGGGCTTAGAAACCACAATGCCATGCACAACCGAGAGAAGCCTTATGAGTGCAGTGAGTGTGGGAAAGCCTGCAGGCAGACTTCTTTCCTTAGACAGCATGAGGCCATCCACACAGGAGAGTAACCACATGAATGTCCCCTCTGTGACAAAGCTCTCAATCAAAGATCTTACCACAGAAAAGCAGGATTGAGTCCATCCGGGCAAGCCATGCTATGAATGTCACTAGTCAAAGCTCTGGCCTGAACCAGCATGGGAGAATGCACACGGGGCAGAAACCACATGTATGTCCCATGTGTGGGAAGGCTTTCCGTCAAAAGTCTGAGCTGACGACACATTACCACATAACACACACCAGAGAGAATCCTTGTGAATTCGGTCAGTGTGGGAACGCCAACATGCGAATCTCATCAGACACCAGAGTTCCTACAAGGGAGGAGAGCCCGTGGCATGTCAGCTATGTGGAAAATCCTCCAGTCATAGTCCTCCCCTTAGAAAACATGACGGAACTCAACAAAGGAGAGGGAATCATGGAAGACCAACGCTGTTTTACACATTATTCACCCGAGTGAAATGATACAGGGTAAAATCAGGTGAAACCTTTTATTCATCAAACAACACTGGTCATGTACGGGACCATTCACAGTGTACAAACCACTGTGTCTCAAAGGCGAGGCATTCGCTGATCACTTATTTCTTACTCAGCCTAAAATATCCCACACCACGGATACAGCAATCCCAAATGGAAACCCAAATACTTAGTTGTTACTATATTAGAAAATATGAAGGCATGTGTGCTGTGTGTGTGTGTGTGTGTGTGTGTGTGTGTATGAGCTCACGAGCGCGCTCGGGCGCATCTGCCTGTGCAAACACTGGTAAAGAGCCCTTCAACACACAGCTAAGCAATAATGAAATGTCTGTGGAAATGAAAGTTGTTTATAGAACTGTGACATCCATTGCGGGAATCTAGGGTGATCTGGCAACTTTGAATGTAGAATTTTGTAAGAAATTCATCTTTCAGGACAGCAATGCTTGCCCATATTGGAACAAGAAAATCTGTTGCGAAAGAAGCAAAGTGTTGGTATGTTGGTTTTCCTTGTGCGGTTTTGAACACATACACTCAGGTTCACACAGCCCTTTCCCCAATGGCTGCTTGGAAACATGGCAGCTCCCTCCGTCTATGGTTTCTTCAACACGATCTGCTAAACACACAGCCATGATCTTCTGCCTCAGGTGATAGACGCCTCTGTAGGACACGACCCTGCTCAGGCAAGTTCATTCGGGCATAACAAGGGCTCTCACGGAAAAATCTTGGTGGGAAGCCATTCTATGGCTCTGCTAAGTGGGGCCAGGATCATTAACGGAGAAAGGGGCGACTGAGCCTAAGTCCTTACGTGTTCGGTCAGTTGGGTCGCTGGCCTCTGGCTTAACCCCTGTGGTTTTTGAGGCCCGGGCCGGTTCAGGGCGGCGCCGGCTGCTGCCTGGCTCCCACAGGTCGTGAGAGAAGGAGCGAGCAGGGACTCAGAGGGGGCCTTGGGGTGCCCCCGTTGCCCATGCCCGCCACATTGTGGTTCATTTTCGCCCTCACCCCCGGCCGCAAGAAGACAAGGGCACACATTGTGGGCCTTCCCCCCCAGGCTCGTCTCGGGAACGGGGCCGCGGTGGCCCCTTCCCGCCGCCTGCCCTGGGCAAGGGTCATCCAGTCTTTCCCGTCAGGAACACAACCATCTGCCCCGTGTCTCTCGTCCGCCATCCACCACCCGCAGTGCGGTCGGGTGTGCTTACGCGCGTTCAGGGTGTCCTGCCCCCCCTCCGCCCCACAGGCTGCGCCCCGTGCCCCAGCCTGCACCCCACTTCCTGTCGCGGCCCCTCACCCCAAGGTGGCGAGGGGCCTGGGCCGGGGGTGCTGGGACGGGACGCTGTGGTGGAGGGAGAGAAGGGGGGTTCGACTCCAGGACGCGTGTTGACATGTGTCGCGTGGGGTTTCCCGGGTTGGCTTCTGCCAGGTGGTGGAAACGACGGTGGTTGGTCGGCGCTGAAGGGGCGTTGTGGGGGATGATGCACGTTGCCAGGTCAGCGGGCAGCCAAGTCATGGGCAGGCCTCGTCTGGGCTCTGTACCCACCTGTGTGCAGGTTGCGGAAACCATTGGTTTGAGGGGTCGAGGCATCCGGGGTGAAGGCGCACGTTGGAACTTGGTTCACCACCCCGTTCGCTCCCCCCTTTCCAGGTACCTAGCGCGTCCAGGTGCGGAGGTTTAAAGACCCCTGGGGGTCGCCCGTTCGCCTTGGGTCGGGGGGCTTTCGGCCCATGGGGAGGGTCAGGGGAAAGGTTCCTGTGCCCTTTCCCCCCCTTTTCCCTCCCCTACTTCCGGGCCCCTTGGGGGCCGTTGCTTCGGACCACCCCATGGTCATTCCTTCCCTACCTGCAGAGGCTGATCTTGTTTGTCTCGTTCTTAGATGGCTGCCTGAGGCGCCCCCGCCCCCCACCAGTGGGATGGGGGGGAGGGGGGGAGAAGAGAAGGTTGCCATGCCAGGGAGCGAAAACCAAAAACCAAAACATTACGACTCTTAGCGGTGGATCACTTGGGACTTGCATCGATGAAGAACGCAGCTAGCTGCGAGAATTAATGTGAATTGTAAGACACATTGATCATCTACACTTCAAACGCACTTGCGGGCCAGGGTTCCTAACCGGGCTATGCCTGTGTGAGCATCATTGCCCATCAAACGAGTCCCGAGGTGTCTTGCGCTGCTGGGGTTTCCTCGAAGGGCTGTTCCTTGGGCCCTGCGTCCCTGGAAGTGTAGACGACGGTGTCTGTGCCCCCAGTGAGAGAAGGGAGAGGCCCCGAAGCCATGGTTTTCTCTCTCAGGAGCTTCCTCACACCGCACGCGGCCAACGGGAAAAGAGAGTTGTGGTCGTGGGGCCCATTGTGGTGACAGTGTCCCCTTCCCCATTCCAGCTCTGCCTGGGTTGTGGCTCGAGCCAAGGCCGAGTCATGGGCGGGGTCGCGCCACGGGGACACGTGCCCCGGTGGTGCCACTCGGGACTCCACAGTGTCCTCCCCATCCGAGCGCTCCACAACCTGGGCTGCGGCTACGCCACATCACGCGTTGACTGGCCCATTGGGTGTGTGTGTGTGTGTGTGTGTGTGTGTGTGTGTGTGTGTGTATGGGGTGGGTTCGTGTGCTTTGTGGGGCTACGGCATCATCGTGGCCCATGCATCCACCCCCCCTACCCGGAGACCACCACCAAACTCACACCCCCTCTGCTGGCAAAAGGCCACCCCTTCTCCTGCCAGCTTGAGCTCCTGTCCGTAAGACCCCCTCCTCGCCTCGCCCAGTCCTCAGGGTAAGGCAAGGCAGAGAGGGAGAGGCAGGACATATCGTGCATGGTGTCCCCCATGCGTGCAGGTCAGGGTTCCTCTCACCGGCCTCGTCTGGGGAAGACGCTCTCTCCATGGTGTGTGTGCGTGCGCCCCTTCCTAGACATCACCTCAGATCAGACCTGGCGACACGATGAATTTAAGCATATTAGCGGAGGAAAAAAAACTAACCAGGATTCCCTCAGTAACAGTGAGTGAACAGGGAAGAGCACAGCGCAGAATCCCCGCCCAGCTGTGGGGCGCGGGAAATGTGGCATACAGAAGGGCCCCACTCCCCAGCGCTATTGTATCAATGTCATTTCTAAGGAGTTTTTTTTTTTTAAACCAGGTCAGAAGGTCAAATCTTCAAAGTGCATGCAAGCTGCTCCTCCCCGGAGGTCCGGACTGTATGTTCAAGAGCATCTCCAGGAAGGCCTGCGGGGATGGTGCCTCCACATTCTGGAAGGTGTTCTGGACTCTGCCAAACAGGATGAAGTATTTTGCCTCCAGCCAGATGAACACGAAGTGGTTCTCATTGAACAGGATGGAGACTCCAGGGCGGCGCCTGGCGAAGACGAAGGTAGGTAAGTTAACAGTAATAGTTTCCACGCTATAGAAACACATGCTGCAGGTTTGGGCGCGGGAAATGTGGCACACAGAAGGCCCACTCCCCTGCGCTGCTGTATCAATGTCATTTCTAAGGAGTTTTTTTTTTAACTGATTTCTTGAGCCCACGCCTACATGCAGAACAAATGGAACAGGCTACTCCTCTGAAGCTGCAGCCCTGGACTCCCTGACGCTGGGCTGGGCAGGGCCCTGCCAGCCATGGCCCTGGCTCTCCTCAGTTCCGTGTTCTTGCTGCTGCTGCTGCTGCTGCTGCTGCTGCTGCTGATCCCAGATCATCTGCTCGTCAATCAATTGGACCACGCTGTAGAGCTCGTTGAAGTCGCGGACGATGTCACCATCTGGAAAGGTGGATTCGGCGCATGAGGTGGATCTCTACCTTAGTATTCATGCACTGTCCCGTGATGTGGGTGACCGTGGCATACTTCCCGCTCTTTTGGCTCCAGTAACTTGGCAGCCGCCATTTTGTTTCTTAAATATTATTGATTGATTTTTTAACAGAGTGGAAGGGAGAGGGATAGAGAATTAGAAACCTCAGAGATAGAGAAACCTCATTCAGCTGCCTCGCGCACACCTCCTACTGGGGATGTGCGCACAACCAAGGTATATGCCCTTGACCAGAAACGAACCTGGGACCCCTTAGTCCGCAGGATGGTGCTCTGTCCACTGAGCCAAACCAGTTAGGGCGGCAGCCGCCATTTTGAAACGGCAAAGGTGAATCCCTCTCTTTTATACTCTCCCCGCCACCCCAAATCCAGCATGTTAACTTCCTCGTTTGGATAGCTCAAAATGCAAGTCCAAAACATTGTACAAGTACACTTTTTACTATACGGAGGTGGATCAATACCTTTGTGTTTTTGGTGTGTGTGTGTGTGTGTGTGTGTGTGTGTTTTAAAATATATCTTTATTGATTTCAGAGAGGAAGGGAGAGGGAGAGAGCGATAGAACATCCACGATGAGAGAGAATCACCGGTCATCTGCATCCTGCAGACCCACACTGGGGATCTAGCCCGCAACCCAGGCATGTGCCCTTGACCCGAATCGAACCCGGGAGGCTTCGCGGTCCGCAGGTGACACTCTAAGCACTGAGCCAAACCTGTTACGGCCATTTTGCTGTTGCTGCTTAAAAAGAGAGAGGAAGGGAGAGGGAGAGGGAGAGGGAAAAAATTGATTTTCCACTTGTTTATTCATGTGTCCCTTACTTTAAAAAAAAAAATATATATATATATATATAACACTAGGAATGAGGGAATTTGTGGTCTCTACCCTGCGACCTTGGGCTGTGCCCTGAGGGCATTGGAAAAAGGAAAGTGACTTGTTACTATGGCATTCATGAGTCCAAATTCATGTGATCCTAGAGGCATAGAAAAACAATAGGCTCAGATACCAGTAAGTTCAAAGATGATCTCTCTGAGGGAAGACACCCGGCCTAGGGTGTGACTACCCACTCACTATACCCTGCTTTCTACTTTAAAAAGTCTTTAATTTAAGAACATCTTGGTTGATCACGTTAGTAGTCTGAGTTTGCAAGGCCAGGCCTGGCTTTCCGGGAGTGGGTCAGGTTAGCATGCGGACCCGTTTTATCCACAAAACAAAGCTTCTTATGTATTGACACCTTCCATTTTATCCTATTGCATTACATTTCGTTTTATTAACGGATGTCTCCCCCAACACATTCAATTCCAAAAACAAAAAAACAAAAAAAAAGAGAAAATGAATCCGCCCTTGTTGTCCCTGGAGTACTCACCTCATTTAGATATATATGGATCTGTCCCTGTTCGTCAGTCTATGTTGTTCTCTATATTCCACAAATGAGTGAGATCACATGGTATTCATTTTTCTCTGACTGGCTAATTTCACTTTGCATAATGCTCTCCAGTTCCACCCATGCTGTTGCAAATGGCAAGAATTCCTTCTTCTTCTTCTTCTTCTTTTTATTTTTCACCGCAAGGTAGTATTCCATTGAGTAGAAGATAAGAAGGCTCTGCTTCTGCTCATAGATAAGCATGACCAGCGAGGCTTAGGAGGAATTCTTCTAGAAGACATAGAGAAAGAACTGCCCAATTCCCAGAAAGCTGTCAAGGCTTTAGGGGACCAGATATTCTTTGTAAATCGTCCAGAATAGAAGAAAATTCTTTTCTTTAATGATAAAAGCTGTCAATTTTCTGTGGACGAAGGGTTTCAGAAACTGTGGAGGAGTGTCACTGTGGATTCAATGGGTGAGGAGAAAACTGGAGAAGGCAGCGGAGATATTCAGAAGAATATCTGAAGCGACAGGGTATTTCTTCCATGCAGGAATCCAGACCAAAGAAACTGGCCCCTATCCAGAGAAGGAAAAAGCCTGCCCACTACACAAAAAGTGACGATTTAAGACTCATAGCGAACACATGGCTGGAGTGCTGAAGGATGACTCTGACATTGCTCCTAGTAAATAATGAACAGTTTTGTAGTGTGAAGAGGTCACCACACACCAACAGAGGAGGCAAACCAGCTTGAGGAACTGGATTCAGGTCAGCTTCCTCCCCCCACATTCTTGGATTTGGGGGCCTGGAATGACACCTTCCACGTCATGCCAGATTGAAAAACAAAAAAAAACGCTCCTTAAAAAAAAATAAAAATAAAAAACCTCCATGAAAAACTCTTGATCCGGCCTTTTAACTTTCTCAGGCTTTGGCAAGCCCAGATGGCCAGGCCCGGACTTGGTCTGTGGGCGGGGCCTGACCATCCATCCATCCAGAGAGTGAGCAGGGTGGGGGGGTGAAGAGTGGAGAGGGCCAACAAGATGGCCGGAGCCAGACAAAGTCTTTGTGGATTACAGAGATTGGGTTGACTGGGGCCTTGGCCTGGGCCAAAGATCCAGTCCCGCCCTCTGCTGGTCGAGAAGCGTCAATGCAAGCGCCCCTTCCTGCAGCCTCCTCTGGGGAAGGCAGAGCCAGGTGACTGGACTTCCCCAGTTCTGGTTAGATCCAAGGCGGGAAGGACATGAAGGGAGCTCTGTCTTTGAGAAGGCAGGAGCAGAAGGGTGCTAATGGATGCCGACGGACCATTCAAAGCCAGAAGTGTCCGTGCGTGACTGCGGTTGGACAC